TCATCTGCAAAAGAACCAAGGAAGTAATCAGAATGTGGTGGCAGCATTCCCATAGCAAAGGTCAATGTCAGAACTGATGACAGCGCTCTGGCAGAAAATTGATGATGGACAGGCAAAAAGAAATTAAATTGAGTTTTTAACTCTCATTAAGTTTTAATAAAATGAAATAAAAACACACTAGAAAGGTTGCTGGTGGGAGCAAGCCCCAGAGTGGAGTGTGAACTAATCAGCTGTGTGCTTTTGGATGTGCATCCCAAAGAGCTGATAGTAATGCCACCATAAAGTGAGGGGAAATCTGTGATTTTCACCATATGAGAATTTGAATTTAATCCTTGCTGTCCACTTCACAGTGAAATTCTGATCGGGCAAGATGGACAGCCCAGTTATCACTAAGTTATCACTTGCATAATACAAAGTAAGAACAAAAGATGAGGAAACCTATGAAACAAAATGGCATACAAATAAAAATATAATTCATGAATAATAAATACCACATAGTTTTCCAACCACAATTATAAAATAGTCTATTTTCTTTGCCATTTTACTTTAGTAAATTATTTATAGGATTCCATATACTAAGGAATAATCCCAGTTTATTATCTTTTGACATAACTCTCTTTTANCTGAAATTCATGAGAGCAGAATGTACATAATGATTGACATCAACAATAATTCACATCAGTCTTTCCAGTAGCAGAGAATGCTGCTAGTACAGCTGTTATCTCCAAGTTCTGGGAAGTAGCTTTGTTACTCTTTTCTCCAGTATTAGAAGCCTTAATAGTTAGTGAAGGTGAACTCTGTCAGTTTGGTTTTTACCAATACTTCACATGTGGCTTCTTGCTGAAAACAAGGAAGCTTACGTGTGTTCTGGAGATGGAATTAGTTCCACACAGTGCTGATAGTTCACTGACAACCCATACAACAGTTTGGAAAACAACCCCTTTTCTTATGTGTCAGTGGTGACTTTTTCATGGCAAAATACTTGGAAAAATTATAAATTCCTGATCATGAATCTATGTGTGAGGATGAGATTTCATACCGTTGTTTCCTGTGTTACTGAAACACAACTGACAAACAAGAATATTTGTAACTCAGCTCACAACAATGCTACCTTTGAGCACCATATTTTTATTAACTCATATTCATTTCTGTAACAAAATAGTTTTTGTTTATGAAGTTATTTTAGAAGTAGAATTAGTTCTTGACAAAGGAAGCTTGGTACAACAAAGACAGAACATGCCCTCAGTTCTCTTAAAAGTTGAGAGTAATGAAAAAGGAGATTTCCTAACACAAGACTAGAACCTCACAAATCAGAACAGTGCCTCTTCTGACCAAGCCCCAGAATCTTTCCCGGGACGTGAAGTGGAAGATTTCCCAAAAGAACTTTCAACAGTGGAGATCACTGAAACCACAAACTACTTCACTGCTTAAGTGTACACAATTCCTCTTGTCACAGTTTCAGCACACTTGTGCTGATACACATTTATCATGTTTCCTTGAAATCTTCTCTAAATATAGTTATTTTAGCCTTTCCTGAAAGTCCCCATTTTTAACTTCTGATCATGCTGGTTGCTTCTCAGCAGACACAGCTTTTTTTTTTTTTTGTATTTTTAACATAATGCACAATTTTCCAGTCAGCCTTTACCAATGCTAAGTAGAACGGAATGATATTTTTTTCACCTCTCCTGTGAAAGAAACTTTTATTTACATATTCTAGTACAGTGCTGGCACTTTCCAAAGTTACCTGAGTATTACTTGCTCACATATTTTGACTTGAGTTGGTGGAAAACCTGCTTTCCTCTAGATTGTTAAAATACCCTAGAGCCTTGGATTTATGCTAAAAAAAAAAAAATCTACTTTTGTTTTGTAGGAAAACTTTCTGAAAGTATTCAAAGCAATATATTTAGAGAGATGCATTTTTTTTTCAGGATTTATATTTATTTACAGTATGGCTTTATGTAACAAGTGCCATTGGAGTGGGGTACTCAATTTAACAACTTTATTACCTTTCTTGCATAGATTCAGGCTAGTGTATCAATCCCCTAGAGCATCATAGGGAATCAAAGACAGCAGGGTTGAAAAGATTTATAAGGTTTTCTAGTCCAAAGTTATTCTAATGAAATATTATTTAAAAACACTCTACAGTGGCTGGCCAGAGAGTTGCTTGTGGTAAGCAGCATCAAGAAAATGAGGCTCTTTCCTTGAGGAGGGAAGAGGTAAGCACTACTTCAGCTGTTTAGCCTTTACCAGTCTTCACACAGCTTAAAGGAGGTTTTGGAGGTTGGGGCTTTGACCCTCAACTCAGATTTGGCTGAAATTGTCCAAAAGATTGGAGTTCATTAGAGGAGGAGGCCAGGCCAGTAACCAAGTGACACAATTGTGTTAAGCTTTGCTTTCTAAGAAATCTAACTACAAAGAGACCGGCTTGTTCTGGCAAAGATGTCTCCTTTGGAGCCCAAGGCAAGCACACAAACCACTAGGACACAGAAAAAGACTGAATAAGCTCAAAACAATGATTTTCAGTTTGTGAAGTGTTTAAGTTCTCCCCAAGGATTTTTTAGGGCAGTCAGTGGTGAAGAATGCCTGAGAGTCACAGAGTCACAGAATCAATTGGGTTGGAAAAGATCTCTGAGATTGTCGAGTCCAACCTTTGACCCAACACCACCACGTCAACCAGACCATGGCACTAAGTGCCACATCCAGTCTTTTCTTGAACACCTCCAGGGACCGTGACTCCACCACCTTGCTAAGCAGCCCATTGCAGTGCTGGCCAACCAAGAAATTCCTCCTGATGTCCAACCTGAACCTCCCCTGGTGCGGCTTGAGGTACATCCTCTTGTGCTGTCATTAGTTGCCTGGGAGAAGAGACTGACCCCCACTTGGCTACAACCTCCCCTCAGAGTGATAAGGTCATCCCTGAACCTCCTTTTCTCCAGGCTAAACAACCCCAGCTCCCCCAGCTGTTCCTCATAGGACTTACTCTCTAGACCCTTCACCAGCTCTATTGCCTTTGAGTCGTATAGACAATGCAAGAACTTGCATCAAAAACATCACTAAGAACCAGCTCTCAGCTGCATATTCTCAGGGAAGTAAAAAAAAATAAAAGAAACCCAAACTGAAAAACCAAACCAGTGCTTGAACCAAAATATGGAGAAATCAAAAAAAAATTTAAAACCTCCTGAACTTTAAAAAAATATTGTGTTTGTTCAGTAACAGTGTAAAATGTTGTTTGTCATCCTGGAGATACTAATTATGGATATGTTACCATCATATGGGTTTGTGTCTGTTTGAAAAAAGTATTTATATGTATGTACTGTATATGTATGTACTTTTTATTATTCAATATGACTGAGCTTGTTAGCTTCTAATTGGCCTATTTCTTGTATCATCTTGTCAAGAACAGGTCACATACAAAGAACAAAGGTGAATAGAATAGCCGTCTTAGTATTGACTTGGTAATACAATATAGAAATGTAGTATCTCAGCTCAAAACAGTTTGGGAAGAACTGTTCTTTAGTGTCAGTATCAGTGAATAAGATTCTGTTCACACACTTGCCATAACCTCTAGCAAATCACTTACCCCTGCTGAACTTCTGTTTTTGATGTAACACAGGTATGATCTTTCAGTTCCCTTAAAATGTTTCTTACCCTTAAACTTCAATGTTGAATTTATAGCTAATTCACTGACTGGTAGAAAATGGTAGAAATGGCAATTGGGGTATCAGACTTTTTACTTAAGGTGGTCAGGGCTGCTGAGATTCAGACTCCTGAACACTTCCAATATGAGCTTCTGCCTCATCCTGTGGAGTATTGGATGCCACATCAGTGCAGCATGTGAAGGGAAAAGGTCTCACAAGTAGGAATCTGGCCTCATACTACCGATTATCTGGGATAAGCAGTCTGACAAGTTCTGGGGGTTTGGAATTTTCTGAGTGGGAAACTTCCTTTAACCGTGCATACATCCAATGAAAACGTGCTTCCAGTCAGTCCCACAATACAGAGACAGCAACTATTCAACAATAGCTTTACTATTTGAAGAGTACACCACGGCACCACTGGTAACTTCATGGTGGGAAGCGAGAGGAGGGGTGGGGGAAGGAAAAAAACCCCAAACCCTCAGGAATTTATCACTAGAGATAAAAATGAGACCCTATTCCTTAGTACCTCTTACTCCATGGGGTTTCTTCCAGCACACACGACTCAGTCATGCCTTTGACTAAAATCTGCATTTGCCTCCTTCCAAACAGCAGCAGTCCCTTGAATATTTGGCAGACTGTACCACCTGCGGTCCTAATTTAGCTCCGCATCCGAGGTCCTGGGTTTTCCCAAGTGACCGCTGCGGAGTTAAGTGGCGATTTAGCAGCTTTTACACAGCGCTTCCGAAGCCGGGGGTGGTGGTGGCTAGGGGAAGGGGCAGTCCGACAAATCCTTGAAGTTTAACACGTATTTTGCATTATTCGTCCCACAAATCCCTGAAGTTTAACACGTGTTTTTGCACTGCTCGTATGCCCGCTGGATTCTCCACGTCACACAACCCGCTCCCGGGCGCTGTGAGGCGCCTCCCCTCCAGGGGAACGCTCACCCTGGGCTGCCCTCAGGGGAGGCGTTGGAGGCAGGGGCTTTGCTCAGCTGTGCGGTTAGACCGGTTGCCTTTGCCTTTCCCGCTATTCCCGCCACTCCCACGCGCTCCCTTGACACGCACTTCCCAATCTCCGGCCGCGGAAACACCTCTCCCCCCCCGCGCGGAACAGACCATTGCGGCGGGGCGGGGCGGGGGGACGCGGGGGTGGAAGAGACCAACCCTCCCACAGGGGGGGGGTGGCATGGCAGCGCCGATCCCCCTCCGCCGTGCGCTGGTGGGCGGGGGAGCGGTGATGGGCAGGGCCGACGACCAATGGGCACGGCCGGCGGGGTTGGGGCGGGGCAGCCGGAAGCGGTGCCCGGCGGAAGCGCCGCGGGGGCGGGGGCGTGTGCGGGGCCGGGCAGGGCTGGGCTGGGCAGGGAGCGCTGGGGCGGGACGGGCTAAGCCGAACCTAAACGGTGCCTGAGCCGCACCTAAACCCAGCCGAGGCGAGGCGGCAGCGGCGGCGGCTGATGTGAGGCGGTGGCCTCGCCGGTGATGCGCGCCCCGCGGGCGCTGCCGGCCCGCTGAGGTGGGTGCGAGGAGCGCCCCGGCGGTGCCGCGGCCATGCCGTGCACCTGCGGGAACTGGCGGCGCTGGATCCGGCCGCTCGTCGTGCTGCTCTACATCGTGGGGCTGCTGGTGGTGGTGCCGCTCTGCGTGTGGGAGCTGCAGAAGCTGGAGGTGAGGGGCGCGGCCCGGCCCGGTGCGCTCTGCTGGGGCCGCGGGAGAGACCCGGGGGGGACCCGGCGGGGAAAGGTGTTACCTCATCAGTGCCCATAACTGAAGGGAGGGTGCAGGAGGGTGGAGTCAGGCTCTTCCCAGTGGTGCCAAGCGATAGGACAAGGGGCAACAGGCAGAAACTGATGTACAGGAAGTTCCACCTGAATATGAGGAAGAACTTCTTTATTGTGCCGATGAGCAAACACTGGAACAGGTTGTCCAGAGAGGGTGTGGAGTCTCCCTCACTGGAGATATTCAAAACCCTCTGGACGCAATCCTGTGGCATGTGCTCTAGGATGACCCTGCTTGAGCCGTGAGGTTGGGTCAGGTGACCCACTGTGGTCCTTTCCAACGTGACCCGCTCTGTGACTCTGTGAAAGGAAAGGCTGAAGAAGTGCCACGGTGCTGCTGGGCACGTTTGTCCTGCTGCTCAAGCCCCATCAAAGCGCAGTGGGACAGAGCAGGATTTCTTTCCTCTTGGAGTCCTGTAGTAGTTGATGTTTGAACAGTTTGAACAGGATGCTGATGCTGAAGAAATCAGCCAAGTGTCACAGAATCACAGAATGGGTCAGGTTGGAAGGGACCACAGTGGGTCACCTGGTCCAACCTCCCTGCTCAAGCAGGGTCATCCCAGAGCACATGGCACAGGATTGTGTCTAAATGGTTCTTGAATATCTCCAGTGATGGAAACTCCACAACCTCTGTGGACAATCTGTTCCACTCCACAGTAAAGAAGTTCTTCCTCATGTACAGGTGGAACTTCCTGTGCATCAGTTTCTGCCCCTTGCCTTGTGTCCTAGTGGTTGGCACCACCAAGGAGAGACTGGCTCTCTCCATAAGTTCATCCCAAAACTTATGTATTGAAACTTAGCAGTAACAGTGGCATTCATAAAGGTGATTCTGTCTGATCAGGGAGAATTGAGTAGAGCGTCCCTACTGATAGAGAAAAATTCCTCTTTCGTCACGCAACAGTGATGTATGAATTGCACACACATGTGATACAACTGCTTCTCTAACGGGAAATAAAATTTTAACTTTAAAATATATGTATTGTTCAATGTGAGACAGGCCTGTGGACTGGAGGTAAGCTTTTTTTGCGGTATAATTTATGACAGTAAGATCTGTCTTGAGCATGTTTAAAATTTTTGCTTTTGAAATCCTGTTCTGATGCATAATGGATGTTTATATTAAAGTTCATACCACTAAGTCTGATACTTGTAGAGAAGAAAAACTGGAAAGCAACACAAAACATGTGATGTTGATGTAGGGGATCAGAGAAGAAATTCTCAGCAAAAGAATTGGAGAATAGTCTACTATGTTTCTCAGGTTTTGGTACTTAGGGTTATTAATGTAGTTATTTTTCAGAGAGCTTTGGTTTAAAATTTCAGCCCTGTGTTTTAGCTGACATTATGTTTTTATGTATTTTGAGTTTGTTATGTGAAACTAATTGATTACTTTTTGGAACTTGATTTTAAAGCTAAAAGCTCTTTAAATTCACAAGCTTTCAGAAACTTTATAATGCAGCACTGAACTGAGGCAAGTTCCAGAATTAAAGCAAAGAATCTGTTGTGGGTTTCAGTAAATTCAGTAGTGTGCGTTACTCTGTTTTTGTAGAATGTTTTGTGTATTTGAAAATACTTTAAAGTATTAAGACTGAAACTTTGATCTTGCATTTTTCCTTTTCTTTACAAGGTTGGAATTCATACCAAGGCATGGTTTATCGCTGGGATATTTCTGCTGATGACTATACCAATATCTCTCTGGGGCATACTACAACACTTAGTCCATTATACTCAACCTGAATTACAGAAACCAATAATAAGGTAACATTTCACATTTTACCTGTGCTACAAATGTTGAATTTAATTCAGACTAAAAATACTTCTAGTAATATTGAATGTTCTTTTGTTATTGTAACAGGATTCTATGGATGGTGCCGATTTACAGTTTAGACAGTGTAAGTGTCCTCTTACTGTTAACAGCTCAATAAAATTCTGTTTGCTGTGGGACTGAGGGAAAACAGTGTGACAGCAGAAACTATACTGCAGGGAGAGTGGTAGTCCTAGAAGCTTCTGGGCATTCCTGTTTATGGAGTACATCAGAAACATAGTTCTAGGGATAATATATTCTTCCTGTGGAGCTTCAGGGATTGCTTTTGCTAACCCTTCTTTAACCCTGTCCTGGAGTATCCTTTATGACAGATGTTGAAAGGGGTATGACAAGAGCCTGCTTTTGATCCTTCCATCTTAACAGCAGAACTGGAAACTTGACTAATCCAAGTACTGACTCAAATTCAATGCCTTACCTTTCTTTCCCAAGTTAGGCTTACAACTAAAATTATTTCCTGAGTTGTGTTTAGTGCTAAAATTATTCCTCTTTGCTTCGGGGGGCAAAGGATGAGGTCCTTTGAACAGTGCAAAAGCAGTGTGACACCCTGAAATTGAAAGCTCTGACAGCTGATCCATAACCACAGTTTTGCTAAAAAAAAATCCCTCTTCTGTCAGAAATTATGGTTTAGAGAGTTGGCTACCATTTCAAGGCTAATCTGTTCTTTCTTCTGTATTTTGCGAACATGTCAGAGCAAACATTTACAACATCAGATACCAAAGGAAATCAACTTTATGGACTAAAACTTCTCAAACCCACCTTGACAATGACTCCGTGAATTTCAGGAAACAGTTTTATCTTGTCTCCACCTAACAGGAAGAGGTTATGTGTAGTTACTTACATAGTTGGTTACTTCTGAGTGAAAGACTGAATTGTCTTATCAAAGATACAAAGCATCTCTTTGAGCCGCTTCCAGTTGAAGGGGCAGAGGTGCAGTTTGGAGTTTTTGTGTGTATGTTTACAGAATGTTACTTTCTAGCTGTAGCATTGGTTTCTTAGTAGCCAATGCTTCAAGCCCTGTCTAATTAGTGCCTGCTGTCTCATGAGGTATTGCTCGCTGAACTACCCAGCCAGTGTTGTCGTTGGAATCGCTCTTGTCTTTCTTGCACGTAACCTTTTGTGTACCTCTCTTCTTGCAGTGGATAGCTTTGAAATACCCCAACATTGCAATATATGTGGATACATGTCGAGAATGCTATGAAGCTTATGTCATCTATAATTTTATGGTTTTTCTTTCAAATTATCTAACCAACCGGTACCCAAACCTCGTATTAATAATAGAAGCGAAAGATCAGCAGAGACATCTGCCCCCTCTGTGCTGCTGTCCGTCCTGGGCTATGGGAGAGTGAGTATATTGATGCCATCTTATAGCTTTAGGCTGGGTAGTCAGATACAAATATTTTGTTTTGGTATTTAGCAGCATAACTGTTGTTGCTTTGACAAGAGTCAGTTTATGGTTCGTACGCATTTTGTTTATCAGCCACGAACCTCTGCTGAAAGTGGTTGTGAACACATTTGTCATCTGTAAGTTGTTACATCCTGTGAATTGCACTTGGTTATTAACATTCATTGGCTCAAGTGATGCTGAAGGAAACTTTCTCATTTTTGGAAAATATTGGGAAAAGGTCTCTTTGACCTTTGAATTTGCTTCTTTTGCTGTCATATTTGCCAAAAACCTCACGTGGAACTGGGGGTAGGCCAGATAGCCTGTTGCTTTTACTCCCACAGGTGAGGGAAGAAAGGCTTTATGCATCTAAACTATTTCTGCATGCTTAAACTGGTAAAATCTCTCAAGAGATTTTGATAAAATGCTAAAGACAAACTATGAATCTAAGTCATTCTTAGCCATCTTCAAATACGGCAAAAGTTGCATTATCTTTGTGTAGCCCTGACAGAAACTTTTCATGGCTAAAATAAGTGAATCGTTGAGTATTTCCTGTTATGTGCCTGTAAAAGTTCAGGTCTTTTGTGTATTTTGTGTATACACACTGTGTAGCATCTGAAGTCCTGGAAGCAGAAGTTGAGATTACCATAAAATAAAAATTTACTTTAGTGAATCTACTGAGAACAGGAAACTTCCATAAGTAAATTGTATTTAAACCCTTGTACAATGAATTTTGTGTTTTTCTTGCAGAGTTTTATTATTTAGATGTAAACTGGGTGTTTTGCAGTACACTGTTGTCAGACCATTTACTACTATTATTGCTTTGTAAGTATGCTCATGAATAATTAATATTGATCTTCAGGATGTAATTTTGAGTTACACTGGAAAGAATTTTCATGCCCTTTTTATTGAATCAAGGCAGTTTGAAAGCAGACTCGTGTTACATACTAAATGGGTCCCGACAATTTGATCCAACCTATGATTTCTTTATGGCTTCTCTGTAGCAAATTACTATTTACAGAATTGAAATAATAAATACTTAATGCCTGCTGCTGAAATCTGCAGGAGAGAATGTGAAGTACTGTTAGGGTGGGAAAGACAGTTTTATGATCTTTTAATTTTTAGATGATTTTTCCTTCCTCCTTTCTCTCATTGCCTTCAACAACTGGGTGTTTTTAAAGACAAGTTTCACGTGAATTTTAAAATTTTATTAAAGTTTGCACGTGACAAGGTTGACTGTGAGCCTTCATACATATCATGTAGACTGTGGTTGTAAAGGAATACTAGGCAGCTCTGCATGCTGATGCAGACAGCTTAATTTCATGAACTTTGTGTTGCTGCTAGTTCTGTGGGACTGTGGAAAAAGTTGCTACTCACAATGAATATCCATATCAATATTTATATTATATATAATATATATGCTGTTGGAAACTAATGCTTGTGCAGGCCCCCAGTGCCCATATTTGAGTACCAAAAGAGGTCTTGGATTCTAAGGGTTGTAATGAATATGTAGCACTCCAAGAACATGATCTGTTACCACACAGTGATAAACTCAAAAAATTCTTTCAGGATTTGTGAACTAGTGGGAGTGTATGATGAAGGAAACTTCAGCTTCAACAATGCTTGGACTTACTTGGTTATACTTAACAACATGTCACAGCTAGTGAGTATCAAGAATACATCTTTCTGCTCTTTTAAGTCATCTTATTAGTATTGTGTGAACTTTTTGTGTGAACTATTGACAGTGATTGTGTTAATGTCTGGTAATTCTTATGGGTAGAATATTTTCCACTGTAAGTCAAAGTTACTATCTGTTACGTACTATATATGAAAAACACTAGAAAAACAGATAATCTAAAAATTTTTATTATTTTTACTACAAAGCTCCATAAAGCAATGAAGTGTCCCACCTCTCTACCCCAAATTATTTGATGGGTGAGGTGGTTATGGCCCGGGTATTGGAGCTGCAGAAGAGATGACTTCCCTTGCCCCTGCAGCTTCCTCTCAGCAAACATACAAAGAATCAACAGTGACCATGTTAAAAATTCTGTTACAAAGCTGGTGATAATGACATTGACAGGAAAAAATGGAAACGATGTGTGCAGTGCACAAATTCTGGCCTGCCTAACACCTTTTCTTGTTGGGTCAGCTGCCAGATGATGTCAGGGTAAGATGTCAGCCCCTAAAATGGAAAATTGCATTTTGGAGGTCACAGATTGCTTTTACATCTCTTGGCAACAGCAACAGGAATCAGAACAGCACAACAACTGGGATCACTTGGAAACTGTGTCCTCCCCCCACTGCCACCCCTGTGTTTGATGGGGACTGGTATGGAAGGAGGTGGGACAACAATCCCAGCAGCAGCATGTACCTCTGTGTGTCTTGGTTGACATGATTCCTTATAGAAACTTACTATTAAGAGAGTAGGAGAATGTGTGTAAAAAGGGGAGTTCAATTCCTTAGGTTTGGCTATGCATTAGTTCAGATTTACAGTGACGGTTGCATTAATTGCCCAGTCTCATAAAGAGGCAACGTTTGAGGTGTTATTAACAGAAATCTGAAAGAATATGTGCTTTTTATGCCACTTTCCCTAGAGATGAGCTTGGCACTGAAAAGATTTCATGGCACCTTCCTATGCTTTGTAGAGTGTGTAGATAGATGACCTCAGTCTCTGCCAATACCATGCATTTCAGAAATACAATGTCAGGGAAACAAAAGAGTGCTTTAAAACACTAAGGCAAAGATTCCATAAATCCAAAGTCTCTTTTTTAAAAATAGATAGCTTTTAAAGTTTGTGTCATACTGTGATACATTTTTTAACTGAAGACAACAACTCCCTCACAAAATAAACAAGGATTTGAAAGCTTTCCTTCATTTTCTTTTCCTTGTCAGTTTGCTATGTATTGTCTGGTGCTGTTTTATAAAGTACTACGTGAGGAACTGAACCCTATCCAACCTGTTGGAAAGTTCCTTTGTGTGAAGATGGTAGTTTTTGTTTCTTTCTGGTAAGTGAATTATTTCCTCATTACTTCTTGCTCTTAAGGTGAATCATAAAAGAGCTAAAAAGGCTGGATTTGTTACTGGAGTTAGAGGCCTTATAAAAATCTACCCATAATCTTAGTGAAGTGCAGTGAAGGGAAAAGGGAACCACTATGTTGGACAGAGCAGTCTTGTTCACTTAAGATTATTTTTTAGACTTGCTGTTTTGTGATTCTCAAGAACATAACTTATTTTAGAATCTCCACTTGCAGTTATTTCAAAACTAATTTTTTTTCTTTTTTTACTTTTTAAAGTAAAAAAATTACTTTTTCAAAATAAGTTACTGAAAGTTAACTACAAATTGCTGTCTAAGCATTGCTCACACTTATCTGCTGCTGAGTGAGTGTATTTGACTACCTGACCTTTACTCTGTGGGCTGCAGCAATACTATGAAAGAAAAGCAACTTGTTCTAATGACTGACTGGAACAACCAAGTTTCCTTTGGTTGTTTTCTCTGTTGATTCTGCTGGTCTTCAGGGTCATGGATGAATGACATCTCTTTTTAAGTCTGTTTCTTCCTCTTAAAATCTAAATATATAAACAGTAGGTTTTTTGTAAGATTCTTCCTATGTACACATATGAACAGGCCTTGTTTACCAGATTTGCTTGCAGATTTTTTTTGGCACTACTGTTACAATAATAATAATAATAAATAATCTTTATAGGCAGGCTGTGCTCATTGCATTGTTGGTGAAAGTTGGTGTTATTTCTGAGAAACACACCTGGGAATGGCAGAGTGTGGAAGCTGTGGCTACAGGCCTACAGGTAAGAGCAGTTACTTTTGGGGAGGAATGGTTATATGTAAGATAACATAGCTGATCTCAAGCAATTATTATCATACTCACTGTAATTAACACAGGCTAGATTAGTACTGGTTTTATTTTGAGTTGGGCTAAGTTTCAGCCAGTCACCCGAGTGAGTTTTAGCAAACTCTAACGCGTCCAACTTTAGGTTACCCAGATTTCAAGAAGTTAGGAGAAGAAGAAGAGAGAGAGGAAAAGGAGAGAAGGAGAGAGAAAGATAAAGAGTCACCACTTTGGATGCAGTGAGGTCCCAAGGTAGTGGGTCATATCAGGTCACTCCCGTGTCAATGACCTTTTATCTGCTCTGGTCTGTGTGCCAATGGCGTGGTAGCCACTTCAGGGCTGGACCAGAGGCCCTACCCCACTTATGCAGAACTTGCCCTGTTTTCCCCCACCCCCCACCCAAACTTTAGTTGTTTTGAGCCAGTAATAATTTCTCCAGTCTCCTACAGCCCCTCAGGGTGCCGGTTCCTGTATGAATGTCATACATATGGCTCTCTGAAGCCTGCCATGAATATCCTGCTTCTGGTGGAAAAGCATCCCAGGGCAATTGCAGTCTTTCCATTGCAGAAGAAACCCAGAACTATTTTTCTCCAGTTATGAGTGATTAAATCAGTGTCTCTCTTGCTGCAGGATTTCATCATTTGTGTGGAGATGTTTCTGGCTGCTATTGCCCATCACTACAGTTTTTCCTACAAACCTTATGTTCAAGAAGCTGAAGAAGGGTCATGCTTCGACTCCTTTCTTGCCATGTGGGATATTTCTGATCTAAGGGCAGATATATCAGAACAGGTTCGAAATGTTGGTAAGTGAGAGATGAGACTTGTACAATCTGTTAACAATCTACTAATCTGTTGTATGTATTTCCAGCTTCATCTCTGTAGTATCTTGAGAACATTCTATTACCAAATTAGTAGCATCTGCATCTTTAGAGAATTTCATGGCTTATTTGGCACTTCGCTCTTTTCAGTACTCCTGACTGATTTAAAGTCTAGTTTTTAATTTTTCTTTTAAAAATTTCAGATGTGTTAGGTAAAGAGAGGTACTTTCTGCTTTTCTTTTGGGTGGAAAGACATACTTTTATTTCTTAAAACTAACAATGCCCATGTAAAACCGACACAAAACAAAGACTTATCTTCTAATTTAACACGCCTGTTTTAGAGTTGGTGTGTTCAAAGAGCAGTATAGTGCTGGAAGGATTAAAAAATATTTTCATTTGGCTTGATTAATTCTAGGAAGGACGGTTTTGGGCCAGCCGAGGAAAATGTTTTTTCCTGAGGATCATGAACAAAATGAGCACACAAGTTTACTGTCTTCATCTACTCAAGACCCAATTTCTGATGCTTCTTCAATGCCATCTTCGCCCATGGGTCACTACCAGGGGTTTGGACACACTGTGACACCTCTCACAACACCGACGGCAGCCCCTGCAGTCGATGGTATTTATAACCCTTCTGCCATTCACGATGCTGAGGAATCACCCGAACTAGAGCACGATTCATCAGAGAGAGCTTTGGATAAAAGTTAAGCTCAGCTGTTCTTTGCAAACTTGCCACACGTGTCCTATTAACATGTACTATTAGCCATGAAGGTTGAAAGGCTTGGAAAAGCCGCTGCGCGGACGGGAGGAGGATATGGCTGGAACTGACATCTGAATTCGGAACCTGTAATGGATGTGAGGATCTGTGAGCACCCCATGGATATAAAACACGCACACTGTAAAGGTTTCTGCATAAATGTAAGAGTCAGCTCCTTAAACTGCTAAACACTTCCACATCATATCAGAATTACAGTGACTTCCATTAATTCAAAAGAAACATTTGAAAAAATACTCTGCTCTTCTCAAGATGATATGCAAGTACTACTAGCAATGGGAGAACTACATTTCAAGAATGTAATTTAAGGAGGGCAGTAACAAAAACGGTTTGTATTAACTTTGTCCTCTTAATGATGGTTAACTTCCATACCCCAGTGCTGAATGGAGTGTGGATGAAGTGGTAACTTCTGTACAGATGTCATCTTCTTCCCTTTCCTGCGTAGCCCTTTCATGAAGATAGTTACTACAGAGCATCAGTAAAGAATCTGTACAAAGAAAGCATTCCCTACAGGCCTTGCTATCAAATTCCATGCCCAGATCATATGGTTGGTGTATCTGTTGTCCTTGTAGTTCATAGTTTGTAAGTCTTTTACATTCTGAAGAGACAGCCAGGATGGTAAGTTTTGGATTAATACCTTAACTTGACTCCTTTTTTTCCTACCCTTCTAAAATAAGAATACTGGTTCCTACCTTAAAATACATGGGGGGGAATAAAGGATGTCAAAAAACAGAAGTAGAAAACAAAATTGATTTCTTTACTTTGGGCTGCAGTAAATTCTTTAACACTTAAGTTTTTTTTAAGCTGTTAAAGCAGGATTTCTTGGCAATGTGTCTGTAGTAATTTGTATTCTTAAATTTGTGTCTGTGTGTGATTGTGTTATGCTTCTAGTATATAATACATTTGCCTGGATTCAAATGCAATAGCCGTTTTTTCCCACCACCACCACAGAGAAGACCTTTGCTAAGGTAAAACTATGTAGCTAATCTAATACTGGAGTTACTAGCATTAGATTTCAGACCAAGGAGCAGTACACTTGTATCAAAACGTTATTTTGCAAAAACTGACAGTGTCAGACGGTTATCGGTTTTGTCCCATTTATCAGATTTTTACTGCTACTGCATGTTTGCAATCTGACCAAACAAACCCCAAACCAGTAGAGCACTGACCTTTCAAATGACAAGATCTTAAGTTTCTTTTTTCAGCATTGTTAGCATTTACAGGGTAAATGTTTAACTTCTGGCTGTCAGTAAGTTCATCTTAAGTGCTTTTTTTGCAGTACTAGTGTGATGTAAATATGGCGCCTTACTCACTAGGCTGCATATTTTATAGTTATGTACTTGCTGTATCTGAAGTTAGTGAGAAACTGAAAATCATACTTTTCAATTTGCCAACTCATTGCCTTTGTTGTAAATAAGCAATTAAAGATTTTATTTAAACTGTTCACCTTGTATCAATTTGATTTGCTGCTACAGTAACTTAAGGGTGTGAATGACACAATGGCTACAACTGTCCTCCTCATGGAAGAAGGGGATCTTAAATATAACTCCTACAGGAGTTTGTGCTTTCACTATTATATGGCTCATACTGAAAAGGGAGTTTTTGTTTGGGCTTGTGAAGAATGAGAATCTACTTATTTATGCTTGATTCTAGGTATCATCTTATCCATGTAACAGCTATCTTCTACAACAAAACAACTTGTAGAAGTTCACAATTTCTTACAGTGCCCACTGTAGCCTCCAATAGAAATAATCTGATTTCCTGCATGCACACAGGTAAAAAAAGGGGCAGTGGCAGAAGTAATATCTGAAGGATCAGAGCTGCTGGAAGCTGAGTAGCTACTGTGCTCTGGCTTTTCATAACCTCACACTGAAGGAATTTGTTTTTTAATACAGCTGTTTGGTGTAAAACTTAAATAAGGTACAGAGGGGACTTTGATAGGAGAGCAGCTATTTAAGTGTCTTCTTTCAGGGTGTTTCTGGAAAGCTACTAAGTTTTTTTGTTATTACTCAGTTATTCCATTGGCACAATATTCCTGCTTGCTTTTTGTTTTCTGGGAGAAAAGTTATTTTTTCATTGCAGTAGCTTATATGAGCTACCTTTCCATAAAAATTGCTACTGAATTTCCAAAACAAATGGAAATCTTGCAGTGACACCTACCTTGGCTTTTGAAAACTACTACCACAATATTCCACAGCATGACCTATCAGGATTATACAAAAAGTTAATTTGCAAACAGTTCATCTTCCTTTTAACCATATTTATTCCTCTGTCTTATGCTCAATCTTCTCCTAAGTTTTTTAATCAGAAGTTTTAAGTATTGCTCTTGCCTTACTCAAGGAGACTAGAATATGTCTTCGATTTTTCTCTTAAGTCATTTTGCTGTCATATTAATTGCTAAGAATCTTAATAAATACACCTACCCACTCTTAATTGTTTTTGCTTTTATCAGAGGTCTTCCTGCACCAGAAACCTAAACACTTCTTTATAAAACTGCACTCTGGTGAAGTTACCATGCACCTACTAGGTTTAGTTGTGTCAGGCAGTAACTTTCAATTTTATGGATCATGGTTTTGGGGTTTTTAAGAAACACTTCTGTGTAGTATGAAAAGCCTCTATCCTGCTGTAATTCACTTATGTTATACATTGTACCCCTTGGATGATGGATGGTATCCACTTTATCTTCACAAAACTTGACACTGTCATTACCACTGTTTAGGAAAAACAAATAAAGTGGAGAGCTTTCCTCCACCCTTCTAAAAGGAGCTTTATTACAGCAACTTGTCAGCTGCAGGTTCAGCTGCAGGCTGGGACAACCACAGCTCCAACAGTCCCTCAGCTTAAACTGAGAGGGCCCATCTGAAACATTTGACCTAACAAAGAGTACAAAATTACTTTAGCAGGCCCTGAGATTCTAGAACAATCATTTGTGGATGGCTCTTTATACAGTCTGCTGTTAAGGAAAGTTCACAGAAATGCCTCTTCTCCACTGAATAGACAGCACAGTATAAAGCAGCTTTGCTACAGAAATATCTTGCTAACAGTCTTCCTCCTCTCTCTACAGAGGTAGAATCAGTGCTGAGGTCAAAGTTTTTATTAGTCTTCCATTTGGATATAAATGTAATAGAAGGAACTTGTTACCTGCATTATACTAAGATGCCATGCTGTAAGAGATATTCAGGAGTACCGTGGTGACTGATGTGTTTTATACAACTTTCATACAGACGAGACTTCAGGCCCATTGTATTACTGGAAATAATTCTGGGGGGGATTCTAACAAGTTTCCTAGCTTTGTCTTCCACTATACAACCTGAGTTATCCAACAGCACTCCTGTACAGCCTTTTAGGATTGTCTGTGTGCAACACAGACCTGTGATACTGCAACTGGAATGCTGTTACAGTCCCACTACAAGACTAACAACTCAATACTCTGAAAGAGAAGGCTTTGGCAATGGAGAAGTGCAACTACGGTTTGAGAAACAAGGACTCTGTTCCACACAGCCACAGCTGTTTATTTCTGGTACAGGCATCTGGATGCTTTTTTTCTTCCTACAGTTAACAGAGTAGCAGAAGTCTATCCCTACTGTAATCAGTATACTAACTAGCAATCAAGTTTCTGCTGCAGTGAAGACAATACCTCCCCAGCTGGTTGGTAAGACCCTTATAGTGCAAATTTTAGTCCACCAGTGGAACCTAAGTATCAATTATTAAAGCAACAAAAAAGCCTTTTTGATCAGTAGATAAAGTTTAGACTTTAATACAAAGGAACAGCAGTGATGTTACAAACAGCCAGTTTATGCACAGGTAATTAACCACAAGGCTGCTCACACATGACATTCTTCACCGCTTGACTGTAATGCTGATATTGCTTTTATGGTGTTGAACATCAAGCACAAGTTCATCTCCAACCTGAACTGGGATGGGCTCATCAAGAACAACTGCAGCTTGTTTCCAGTGTGAGGACTCATCAGATGTGTTCAAGGTATGGTCTTCATCTAGATGGATGTGATACCAGAAGGGAATTGCAGTGACTCGGCCAGACTTACAGATTTGTACCTGAAAATATTTAAAATATTAATCAGTTATACTGTTTTCTTACTTCTTTGAAAAGGAAGTAGTTCAAACAATTTAAATCCTTTACAGAGATACCTGCACACAAGTAAATTCCATATTGAAATTTTCAGCCCAGGTGAACACTTAATGGGCAGCTCTGCAGAGCAGCAGTTAAAAATGTGCTTTGGGCTTCTTGTACACACAACTTACCTTCACTTCTCTGCTGGGGCTGTTCAACAGAGGGTTCATGAGATCCAGCCTTAAAAGCTCTGCTGGCTTGCTCAAGGGTACACATGGTAATGTAGAGAGATCCAAATACACACGAACAGGTACCTGAGAGTATATACCAGAACTTCAGGCATCAGTAACCATTAAAAAGTGAAGAGTTAGAAAGCTTAATCATAACATAAGAGTTGCCAGGAATTACTGTAATACCTGCCAGAGACAGAGAAAAATATAAGGTACACCACTGGGATACAACGTAACAATGGGAATAATAACAGCACAGTCTCTTCTGTGCAATAACATTGCATCTGTCATCGCTGGGACAAAACCCAAACCAGTTCTAAAACCAATGTCACCAACCATTTTAGATTATCTCAAGGTTGCTGTCTGGTCACACAAACCTCTCTTGATAACTTCAACAATGTTTTCCTTCAGTTTACACCAAATCTAAACAGCTAGACAGCTGCAGGCTTTGAAGCAGTGCCTGGGAGACACCCACCACCTTCATACCTTGAACTGGTTGATAAAAGGGGCTATATTAAACCCCAGAGTTGGTTCTGTTCCTTGAACAGCACTCTCCAGTAACAGAGACTCCGACTCTACAAGCATCCCATACACTAGCACGTACTGTGGGAAAATCTTCCCTCCACTGTGAAGTAAACATCTGTAAAATGAGAGAGATTTCACCTGTAAAGCATATCATTCAGCAGTAATGAAAGAACATTAGCTACATTTAAGAAAGGCACACTAGTTCTTCCCCTGAAGTCAAGTGCTCCTAAGCATTTGAGTTTGATCCCATTTGACCAACAGCTGCATCATACCAAAAAAAGGGAAACTTGTCACACAGTACTAAAATTATGGAACTGTATAATCTCTTCTCAGTGACAGTATTGGATATGGTGATATTTCACAATGAGGACAGTGGGATCTATTCATAGCAACATCATCTAATACTGAAGGACTGGCAGAAATGCTTAATAAAACTGGAAGTCAGGAAGCATATACTGTTGGGAGGCACTGGTTAAGGAGGCAGCATAGCCATAAGGAAACAAAACCCTGTGAGAATTTAAGTGTTAAACTAAAACTGACAACAAGACAGGGGATAACAGTTTTTCCTGAGAAAACACCTGAGCCTTGTTTGGTCTTTCACTATAGAGCATCATGCTCCTGAGAGCAGCAACACCACAGCAGCTTTCATTCAGTATAGTATCAAACACCTCCAATTCAACACAGATTGGCTTAGGTTTCCTTTTCCTGGAGCAGTCCTCATCACAGGAGTTGGGTAGCTAAGCAGGACACTGTTCGAGGCGTTTTCATGCCAACAAATTTGAGTCTTGTCATATGACAAAAGTCAAGAGTAATTTTTCCATTTGTTCTTGCAGCAAAAAAATCTTTCAAGTCATCCAAAGATTTATTCAAAACTTAGAAAAGGTAATGGGCATAAATTGTCTGGAATATTCTGCCCTCACTAAGCACAGAGATTAACAGAGAAGCTTCCCTAGCACCACAAAAGGGGATAAATTCATTTCATGCTTACTTTGTTACCCATTTCCCTTATTTTATTGCTCTTGCTCTGCCTTCTTTCCCATCCCTTCTGCCGTGGGGAACAGCACTGCATACATTGTATACAATGGTCATGCCAGAAACCCTCTGTGAGGTTCAATCCATTCAGGGAAAAGCAGCCTTTTCTGCTCTACAGAACCAACATGACTAATTTTGTAGTTAGAAGGAATATTCTCAATTTTTTTCAGATAATTACAGATTCCTAGAAATAATTTTGTTCATTTATACAATACCTGGATATTGCAGCCTTTTCCATCACCTCTTGCTGGATTAAACCTGATGTCTCTATAACATCCAAGATGATAATACTCCACAATTTGTCTGATTTGGGTCTCTGTAGCACCACACTTTCTTCTTCTAAGTGGCTGAGCCAGAACTCCAATGTTTCCTTAGGGAAATGGTTAGCTTCTGAAATGATATTAAGTGCTGCCTGATGCTGTTCTTTTTCAACAGAACTGTAGGCTCTGACTGGTCCAAGTTTGCCAGCTATAATGGGCAGAATGGAGAAGCCTTCAGATACATCTAAAATGTACAAAGGGTCAGGAGCCTCATCTAGAGAGCCCTTGTTTTGATTCTCTTGGAGGTTTATCCCACTGCCATGTCCA